AGTGTTGCCGGTCGGGTAATCATGGCCCAGTGGCTCGGTCAAGGTGGCAGGCGACGCGGTGCGGTACCTCTTTACTTCCGAAGTCGCTTGAACGGTCGTGGGATTCTGCTTTCCGGGATGTTGATAATTCTTTGAAGCAAATATTTTTGCTCTTTGAACGTCCTTCAACTTTAATCATGATAGGATAAGAGTGTGAATTTTTCTTGCATAAAGATACAGCCTATATACGTCCCAATGCTGGGCACTGGCCTCACCTCATTTCTGAGAGGGTTTTAGGGCAAGGAAGTGTCCGCCGCGCTGCCCCAATGCTTGTTGGCGAACTTCACATGTCTTCGAAATATTTTTTTTCTTATTCCTCAGACATGCAGGTTTTCTCACGATGTTTTTCTTCATTGCCGAGCACGTGGTATATCAGCACTTAAAATTGCAATTAACAATTTCATTGGTGCCGACGGAGATCGAACCCGGGTTACTCTCGTTCGGTTATATTTATAGCGAGCGTTAACCATCTGAGCTACCAGGGCTCTTTTCTTGCATACGGTATTAATATTAAGATTAAATTTCTAGTGACCTTTATTTTGATCAGTCAACTTTAATGAAATAGCTCAATAAAAAAAACTGTTTTATGCTCATTTTTATCTTTTTCGTTGAAAGCATAACAAAAAAAGTTTTACTCCCCTCACTCAGAGGGGTAAGCAGCGATCACACAATTTATATGTGAATTTATTTCGTTGCTTTTCTTTAAATATAGATGTAAAATTTCTGCGTCTTATATTTTGGCTAGGTACTCATTGAACGTTGTATTATTTTACTCAATGTGGTGACAAAGCAAATTAAACTTAAGTTAACATGATGATCTCTTATTTTTACGCCAACTGTACCTACATTTACGGATTTATCGCGTTTAAATAATAATGGCGTACTACAAATCGCCCGAAACATCAGGAATTCAAAAAATAACCAAAATTAAACGCGATAAAATCCGTAAAGTAGTTTAATAAAATTAGTGTTTAAAGTTTAACGATCACAGCGTAGTAGTAACTTTGATTTCACCATACGCGGAGTCTAGGTTTCTTTATAAATTCAATTTATGTTACTTAAACCCCTCTACCATACAGGCGAAATATTTTATAAAGGAGTGGGAGTTTCATTTTTTTATCAGATAGGGTGACAAATGAGCACACAGTCCACCTGATGGTAAGTGGTTGCTGTGGCCCATAGACATCTACATCTATCCTCGATTACGAATCAAAACGCAGACACGTTGTCACCCGTGAGGACTAAGATGGAATGCCTCGTTTCCAGTAAAGGAGTGTCCGGTTCTCTACACTTACCATACGAAACACAGCAGCATTAAGCTACTATTTTACGCTGGTATTCTGTGAGAGCATGGTCCTTCCCCGGTCGAGCCGACCCATTTGCGCTACAACTATAATACTAATATAACTGCGGCATGGCTCTACCACGTATAAATTCATGATCTAACTCTAATTAAATTTCATGATCTAACCTCACTCCTGTTCGTCTTTTACCCACTATATCAGAAATAATTTTTTGGTCTGTGCCTGAGAAAAAGGGTGTGTGAAAAGAATAAATGGCAGTGTTATGGTCGCCACGCACGGTCAGTTAAACTGATCATTCCAACTGATCAGTTCAAACTAAAACTGTTGATATTTTTTAAAATATTGGATTTTCGATATATTGACAATTATAAATATATCAATATTTCGTGACACCCCACGAATATGGGTCTAGTGAGTGTCGTAAGAGGCGACAGAGGGAAACTAACCAAGTGATACAGAAAGCAAGCGGTCTCCAAGTAACTACTAGAAAATAAAAACTGCGGTTGGCAGCTCGCCTGCCTAGCGTGGCAACTATGGCAAGTACCAAAGGCGTATCTATCAAGAGGTCTACGAGTATGAGCAGTGAATTTTGGTAGGCTGTACTGAATAAATTAATCAATTAAATTAATGAATATATTATTGTTGTCTGCGATAATTTTGAAGATACGGCGTGGGACAACAAATTTAAAGCATTTAAAAAAAATATTTAAAAATTAAACACATGAAATAATGACTTATCCCATTAAAATTGTGCTTAAAAGATTAATCGTATCTTAATTAATGCTCTACGTATTGTTTTCACATGAACCACTTAACCTGAAAATTATTTTAACCTCACGTTTACAATAGAGTAACTGTACAATAATGCCAAATATTGATCACATAAAACACTTTGAGCGTGTTTTTGCTAAACTTTAATCATCTAAGTGAAACACTTCGAGAGTTGCAGAAAAACTCCTGTGGTAGCCACATGAGTAAAGAACTTTACTCTTGTGGCGATAGTCAAATACCGAAGTAATTTAATAAAGGTTGTGATTCGAAAAAACTTGTCCTTCACTTTACTTTACTTCACTTTTAAACTTTCACTATGAAAGAATAAAAGGGTGAATGTTACTTATTTTATAGGAGCATACTCGGACCCCAAGATTATCTTATATATATAAGGATTATCCTAGTTTGGGGTCAAACGGAAAATATTTGTATAACTTACCTTAAACATTGTTTAGATGTTTAGCTCACTGTTCTTGCTTACATTTGTTAAATCTAAATGCCAATAGAAATATTATTATTATTATACGGCTCACCTGATGGTAAGTGATTACCGCCGCCCCTGAACAACTGCAAAACTAAGAGAATTGCAGATGCATTGCTGAAAAAGTAGGCCCATTTCTTGAAGATCCCTAAGTCGTATCGGTCCGGAAAAATCTTTGGTGGTAATCGATTCCACAAGGAAGTTGTGCAAGGAAGAAAACTTCTTTTAAATCGCACAGTGGTAGGTCGTCGTCCAAATGGTATGGATGGTATCGCAAGTATTGAGCGATGTGCGATAGTGTAATTGTGATAATATAATACCTATAATTCGTATAATATCTACAATATACTGTCCTTTATTCGAATAAAATTGACATTGAAATAAAGTTATATACCTTTATGAAAGATTATTTGATGTAAGTTTTATTGAAAGCCCAATGAACAAGGATAAAAATATTTCCATAACAATTTGTTTATTTTTTTAACTGACTTCAAAAAAGGATGAGGTACTTAATTCGACTGTTTTTTATGTTTGATACTTCATACTTTTTTGTAGGTGAATTGATTTTGATAACTGTTTTTTTTATTTGAAAGCTGGTGGGAAATTTAATCAAGATCTAACCAATATATTTTGAATTACCCTTAATAATGCGTATATAATTGCACTATGATGAAGCTCGAGGTTGTACTGCAACCCACTGACAGGAATATAGGTATTCGAAATTTTCCTGCGTGATAGACGTCATAATTTAGTAACATTTGCAGCCTATTAAAGTCCACTAATGAACATAGGCCGCCCCTCATAGATCTTCTAAGACTTACCATAGTTGCCATTCTTGGCAAGCGGGTTGCCAACCACAGCTTATTTTTAGTCGTTAGTAGGAAGACGCTGCTATTTCGGTATATTTTTTTATATTCGCTACGCCACGGTAATTCTGAATTGCGCCGATGGCTAATCTTCGTTAAGACTAGCCTCGGTAACCGAAATTCTGTCTGTCGGACAGTGGGAAAACCTTAGGTACAAATTTTTGTTAAAAGCTTGGTTTGCATCTGTGAATAGTTCTTGATGTCATGTTTCTTACAGACAACATTGTACACATGTGGATGTAATACAGCAGGTGTGCACTTAAAAATCAAAAACATAGCGCGAGGTACGTTCGCTTTTGCGACACATTTGGCCACATTATTTGACTAATTAAGACTTATAAGCATGGTTAAATGTTTTTAGGACTACAGACAAGGTGATAGTAAGATAGTGTTAGAATAGTAACTGACACAGCCCAACAGATTAGTAAGCTGTAGTGGCAATTGGCTGGCCACAGAACTCCTGAACTTATGGGGAAGAACAGTTCTTGAGCGGCAGCGTCAAGCAGGTAAGCGAAACTTAGCCCCCTCCCCCCACTAAAAGGAGTGACGAACTGGGGTAACATGCAGATAGTCGGTAAATTAAGGTGGTTCTGGTTTGTGGCGTTCCTTGGGGAAGGATTATAATGATAATGAAAATAAATTGTGAGTTGGTACAGAAATGCGCCTCCTGTAACATCAGTATTACGATATTTTGATACAGCCGTTTAAATTATGGCATATTTATAAGTAATCTATATTTTTTTTATTTAATACACATTATATGTAATTCTTTATTGTATTAACTCATCTTGAAAGTGTATGTAATTTGAAAACGAAATTACTATGTTAGTTATTAGTTTGCATCTGTGTGTATTTTCTCTTCATTAGTATCTTAAACACGTAAGGGTACCAAACTCGTATCGTAGCCAAAAAAAAAACTGCCTCCAAATGATTTTGTGGCTTTGTGTGCAGTTGTTGAAGTGAAATGTTAAAGCTGACTGACTTCTCTGGTTTTGCAAAATCAACGTGACCAGAGTTAATGAACAAGGTTTAATGAGCATAGCATATACGGTTTAAAAGTTTGCGGAAAAGTTTCTCAAATCTTTTATTTTAAACATCAGTAAGTAGTAACCAAAATCTCTTCAGTCACGTATTTAATTAAACTAAAAAATAAAAATGCACTCTGTAAATTTTTGACAAGGAAGCTTGTTGTAGTTTAGATTGTCTAAATTCGACAATTCAAGGTTAATACATGTGGTGGGCTAAAATTAGAGTTAAAAAACTTTTTGTAACACGCAATATGAAAAAAACTGGTAATTTCCGTAGTAATTATAATAGAAGTTATTTAATCTGTAATTTTTTATTATTTTAAGATACATAAATACCCAATTAATTTAACCTTATGATCTTATGAAACAAGACATTCAACAGAAACAATTGAAAAATAAAGTTTTAAAAATGTTGGCATTAGTAATTAATGGACAAAATTAACAGACTTGGAAATAGCTACTAATTTATGTCAAATCACGTTTCAATTTATAAATGTTTAATATTTGTAGTCTATTCTCTCTCTACGAATAGGACACAATAAGAGCGCAGATCCATACCACATTCTGAGGTGAAAGTGACAGAATATTTTTCGGAAATATCGTGTGCCGGTACCGTTACTGGCAATACTAAAGTCGCGTCAGTGTGCTGAGTCAATGTCACTCGGTCAAAGCGGAGTTCGAGACCGCGCGCCGTTACCAGGAAGGAGGTTTCATTACGCAGCATATGTTGCACCTCGGACATATTTGTACCGCCTTCAACCAACAAAATGCTGAGTATAGTCCTGCCTGTAGCTGTTTCTGGAAAAATGCAATTAAAATAATATATTCTTTGGAATAAAAAGATAATTTGAAATTCTACAAAAATTTAATGTTTATTAATTTAAAGCGGCGGTAGATGTATTTTTAAAATTAACTTACATTATTTTTTAACATTATTTTTTTTAAATTTATAGAATAACGATAGAATAAATTTTTCGTAATACCTTGCATACAAAGTAAATGTAGTTACAAATCTTTGATCGGCGTTAGATATGAAAATTTCCTATTTAGAGATAGACTTAATTATAGACAGGGACCCATTTACATGGAATACTACAACATTAAACATTTCTAAATTATTTTACTAAATTCATTTTACATTTATAAAATATATTTTAAGATTAACTTGAAAAGTCAGTAACATCATCATAATACGAAAATAGTTGAAACTCTTACAGAGAAATCTTTTTATTTTTTTATTATTTTAGGTATACATAAATGCAAGATTTGCTCACAATTTTAAGTGCTTTCAAAGTTTATTAATATTTTATTGACTTATATATAAGTAATTTTTTGAACATCCTTATCGATGAAAATAGTGTTGTAGACATTACGAACCCAAGATCGAGCATCACGCAACTATATCTTACATATATTTCGTTACTTAGCTACATTTACTTAAAGTAATTTATTAAATTTTCTAAAACTAATGACTGATTTTGATACACATAGATCACATAATTTTCGTTATTTTCTTTTCTTGTGTAAAATATATTAAAATGGCATGTAAGACATACCTACTATTATTTATTGAAGCACACAAATGGCAATAAAACTAAGAACAACTCACAATTAACCCAATGCTGGGTCTCCGTGGTGATCATAGATCTAAGAGTTTAAACTACAAAAGTGGAAAACATAGTATTCCACCTCCAAAATTCTCTCAGTCTTCATCATCATCATCATTACAGCCCTTCACAAGTCCACTACTGAAGGACTCAACCAAGGAATTTGATAAAGCACGGTCCACGGCACAACCTCTACAAAAAGATGTTGATAATCGAATGAACACAAATATGCCGCTTGACAGAGAAAGCTATAAGGAAGGACATTAGGCTTCATATTAAGAAATAGTAACTTTTAAAAATTTCACAGCAAAAAACATTTAACACCCATGTACGTCCGTAGCATACTGAAATATGTACCTAACCGTAATTTGGTCAGCACAGTATCAAAGTTCATCAACTACACAACGAACACAACAAAAACAATTTATGAGAACTCGTTGATCTGTACCTTAGTTCTATCCATTTCCTTCCAAATTAAATCTAGGTCATAACAATACTTAAATTAGAATGTCACGCTTGCTGAATATAATGTCGGGTTCTGCAAACATTTTTAGCAATTATTTGCCCTTTTTTAAAAAGCCCAGTGCTGTACAATTTAAGAGATAGTAAGAAAAGCATGTTGTGGCTGCCTTAAGTCAATTAAAACTAATTTTATACATTATATTTGTGAACATATATTATTGTGATTGCCTCTGGCTGTCCTAAATTAAATAAATAAATATTCAAATAATTTAATATCTACATATTATAATAGTATTTATTAACTTTTTATATTTTATTACTAATGACATTAATTTAAACTAGCAAATGACATACCAGTTAACATAATTTAAACTATATTTATAAATAAATATACATTTTAGGAACTCACGCTATCCTCACGTTATTGCGAAAATTATGTTTTAATGAACGGTGAAACAAATTCCTTCTTTTTAGAAAGTACATATCAGATAAAAGTATCCTGTTTGTCGCCTAGAGTTACTAAGTATTTACAAATTTTCAGAAATAAACAGAAAGTTAGACCAAATTTCTAAAATTCATTAATTTGGCGTCAGCATTAAATTAAGCCTTTTTTCCTACAAAATCTTAGAATACGATACAAATTCTCTACAGATTTATTATACGGCGTGTCGTGGTAGCTCAGGGGCTAAGTACTAAATTTCACAGTACGGCATCAATGAAATTGTTAATTGAAACTTTAAGTGCTGATTTACCACGTTGTCGGCTTTAAAGGAAAACATCGTGAGAAAGGTTTCCTGCATGTCTGAGAAATAAAATAAAAGCGGCCAAGAGCGTGTCGGGCCACGCTCAGTGTAGGGTTCCGTAGTTTCCTGTCCGTTACAATAAGTGTTCCCACTTATGAGTTTAAAGGTGGGTATTCATTATGTTCGCGCTCCATCAGTGCTCTGCGCTCCTGCAACTGCTCCCGGTAGTGGGTACTGTTGTTTCCATCCAAGTTCTAAATGATTTTCCTAGAAAGTCCTTATAAAGTTCTACTTTTCAGATTTTTTTTATATTTTCTAAACTTATGATTCGAAAGTTAGAGGGGGGGGACACATTGTTTTTTACTTTTGGAGCGATTATTTCCGAAATTATTGACATTATCAAAAAATGAATTTTGTAAACCCCTATTCATTTTTAAATACCTTTCCTACAATATATCACACGTTAGGGTTGAAATTAAAAAAAAATTGCTTCCCACTTTACATATAGGGGGGTTACCCTAATAAAACATTTTTTTCCAATTTTTATTTTACCACTTTGTCGGCGTGATTGATACACATATTGGTACCAAATTTCAGCTTTCTAGTGCTAACGGTCACAGAGATTAAGCAAGGACGGACAGACGGACAGACAGACATGGCGAAACTATAAGGGTTCCTAGTTGACTACGGAACCCTAAAAATATATTTGGAAGACATGTGAAGTTTGCCAACACGCATTAAGGCAGCGCGGCGGACATTCCTCACCCTAAAATCCTCTCAGAAATGAGAGAAAGCCCGTGCCCAGCAGTGGGACATATATATGTTGTAATTTTAAATATAGATAATAAATTGAGTTACATACCTACAAGTTCATCGAAAATTTCTATCATATTTTCCGACGCATTTTTTAAAAGAGCACAACGCAGTGATTTTATCATCAATTCATTACGATGAGGGATCATCAAAACAGTGGTACGATAACATTCACAAGATTCACTGCAACTGCAAGGTATTAATGGCCATTTATCTATATGAGCATACACGGTACCAGTAACAATCTCACACCGAGGTTGTGACGTCACTTTAATGAAAAATTCTCCGATGCTACTTCTAAACCAAACCCAAGTATTTCTAATTTGAGTGTCCATACATATCAGATCAAAATATACTTTGTGTTCTAAAACGTCTTGTCCGCTTTCCTTTGGTATACCGGTTAAAACTACCTCTTTATCAGTGAGATTTAGTCTTCTTGCGTAAAACTTATATTTTGTATCTTCATCAAAATCTGAAGAAGTTGAAGGTTCTCTATCTGTTATAAAAATTCGATATGTAGCATTTATCATAAAAGGCGATGATACCAATATATCTACTTTTTGTGTTCTATAACAAGGTCCTGTGACCTTGCATTTTCTTAAAGGCGTCATTTTTCCTACACTTCCAGAAAGCATGAATACCATATAAGTATCAAAGATTCGTGTTTTGTTATACCCTTGTACCAGGAGAATCGATTTTTGTTTACATACAAAATTAGCAATGAAGGTAACACTTACAATGACTCGCTTAGTATTATCATCACCAAATGTTTTCTCAACGACAAAACTACTTTTCTTGTTATATAAAAGGACAGTATTGAAATTTAAAGATTCTTCACTTGTAGGACTTATCGTAATTTTTCGTGTGGAACTTTTTAACAATGGTGGGTTAAATGAAATATTTTCTTTCGGTTTGAACATAGGCAATATCACATATAAATGTATCGATAAAAAAAGCATTTGTAAAAAATTTGGTTCTAGAAAATCTTTACTTGTAAGTGGAAAATTAAGTTGGAGTTGATTAACTGCTTCAATAATGAGACACGCATTATTTATTATCCCACTTTGGCATTTGCATTCATTTTCATGACATTGTGATAAGAAATGTTCATTTAAGAAAGGACAATAATTTAAAAATGCCGCTATAATAGCAATTCCGTCAGATAAATCATTTGTGATATTTTTGATGCATTTCACAGTTCTACCTTTAAAACTAAATGTTTTATAATAAATCAGTAGTTGTTCGTTATACCAAGTGATTAATATATTCACAATATCTCTAGATTGCATAGAAACACATATACAATCAAAAAAACAACTGTCTAATACAAAGACTTTATAAGTCTGAAGGATAAAATCAAGCCAACATTGTTTGTTCAATCTTTCGAATAATGTCGTATCATTTAAAAGTTCTCGATCAAAGAATTCATCAGATTTACACTTTAGTGGTATATTTTCTGTAAAAGTAACGAACTGATCGTAACTTAATAGAAACTTTGATTCTACTGCCCATAAGTTAGCCCCACGTGATTTTAATAAATTAATAACTTCTTTATACATAGCATGAACTTCTTTGACTTGTTGAATTTTTTCATCTTTGTTTGATGTTCTGAAATATAAAATGTTTAAGATTTTATTAAACTTAAATACATTTCATATTTTATTACCCTGCATTGTTTATATGTGAACTAATTAATGTATACATACGTTACTTTGTGTACGTGTTTTATTAACGGACCAGCAATTTTTTTAATAAAATTTAAATAAGATACGTTAATTTCTCTTGATTTTGTTTTAATTTGTGGTGGTATATCGTCAGACACTGTGTGAAATGTTTCAGGAATTTTTGGGTATAAATCTTTTCTAAATCCTTGATAAAACAACCACTTTTCGAGAAATTTCAAGCACGTTTCCATGTAGTTATAAAAATCAACTTGGATAGGGATGGGATAGAATGGATACGGGTTATCGTCAAGCTTAACATAAGAAGTTGCATGTAACGTCAGAGGACAGTATGAAAAACAATATTTGACTTGTATATCACAGCTCGACCCACTTTTGTGTTTGAAGGTAACAACTGTAGTAGATGTATATTTTATATGACTGCAAACAGTTATCTTTGCTTGTATGTAAGTAGTGACCTTTTCCATTTCATTGTGTATATTACAATCAAGAAATTTTACTGTTACCACATTTGGTTCACTTGAAACGAAAGAAATTGAGCACAAATCAAGTTGTGAGTTAATCTTTAAAGTTATAATTTTGGATACCTCTTCACCAACATTAACAGGTGGCAATATAATCTGAAAAGTACTGGGCCTTATAGTTAGTATTTCATTTACACCAATAAATGTTAAATTATAAAATGGTGTCGTCATGTTTACATCCAGATATAGGAGCGCCGTCGATATAAATTTGCCGTGATCCTTTGGATGAAAATTTAAACAAAACTGTGCTTCCTTTAAAGAAATCAATTCAAATTTTATTTGATCGTCACATGCATTTTTTAGATTTTCTTTAGTTAGTAAATATAAAGAAAAGTTTGGTATTAGTTTTGATATTAAAATGGTAATATGTAAATTATATTTTGAAACATTTTTCATCATAAAATCAATGCTGTTGGTGCTGTTATGAACATAAATGATTTTAAAATTTTCAACAGAAAATTTTACCCATGGGTGGGTTATAACGCCCTTAAAGCGACAAGAACTTATTTCTTCGCTAGCTGGTTTTATTTTCACTTTTGAATTATTTTCATAAAATCTGGAAAGGTATTACATGTGGAAGTAAAATATAAATAATATATATATATATATATATATATATATCAATGTAAGCATAAAGAAACGATCGATTGAGACTGTCAATATTTACATGATTGAAGGTTACAAATGAGGTGCGATTGAAGCTCTAATTGAACATCTACAATTTCACATGCTTCAGTCGATTGCTGAAATATGTTAGGATGGGATTTGCGTTTATCAACCCTGATAAATTTACCCTAGGGTGGATACTCGGAAACGCGTGTTATCTATCCATTTCGTCTGGGGTGGATAGATGAACACGCGTTGGAATTCCATATATTATGTTTCTTCCGATTTTCTCCCTCGGCTGTGTACAGTCATTTATAGGAACATGATAAAAGAAGGCCCATGATAAGACGTTAGCATATCTATAAAAATCACACATATCGTGTTTGAAGGGTCAACGCTGAAATAAAAGGAGCACAGGATTACAGATTAATTGGAATCTTGCCATAAAACAATTTAAGATGAAGTTAAAAACAAAAGTAACGTTTTTGTAATGCTTGCAAAATAAGCACGTTTTGCGATAACATATAATATGTGTATGTTGTAGCAAAGATATTTATATATCAAATTACGTCTATTCAATAATGAAATTATTGTTGGTAATTTCTTGGATGTATTGCAGAATTTATAAATTACGTAATAGTATTATTTAAAACGAGGAAGTTTAATTTTATTTAAATGCAATAAGTAATAGACTTTAATACTGATGCTGCAACAGTTACTCTAACGGCAATATATTTTTGTTTAAGTTTATTGTAATTAAAAATTAATAAATAATTAAAGTATATAGAATTGTACCTTACTTGGGGTAAAAAGTCGACAACATAAATAAATGTGGATACCGATTATCCACCCCGTCTGGAGTGGATAGATGAACACGCGTTTCCGAGTATCCACCCTTTTTTTTTTTTTTTTTTTTTTTTTTTTTTTTGCGGATGGAAAATCATCTAATGACCCCTTTCGCTCTGGGTGGAGCGTAAGGGAGTGTCAGACTTTTACTGACTAAAAACCATCCGTGTTCCTTCAGTGCCCTTACGTTCCGGAGCCGCGGTATCTCTTTCGAATAGCCCGCAGCCCCGGCAGGCGTCGGCCCTTGCGGGCCCCATCACGCTGCTGACAGCTCTTTGAGGCGCGCGTGGAACAAAACGCGCCGTCGACACGGCCTGTCGTCGTTAGACGGACGGACGACGAGCTACCCATTGCTCGCCGTCCACAGGCCCGCGCCTACGGTGGCCGGGGGCCACGACGTAGCCCCCGACGCCCGGGGCGTCTCCCGCGGCGGCCTGGGAGGAAAGCTGCTGCTCTTTCCTTCTCCCGCTCCGCCACCTCCTTCGCTAGCATCACTGCTTCGCAGAAGGTGGTGACGGCATCCCATTCCGTCTCGCTCCGGACCATGGCTTCGACCAGGGCCGGACGCGAGAGGTCGCCGCCGCCTATCGCCGCTACGAGGACACGGCGGTGCTCCGCCCAAGCAGGGCACACCTCCACGGTGTGTTCCACCGTGTCCTCCGGTCCATCCTCGCAGTGGGAGCACCCGGGCGTTTCCTCCCGCCCGATTCGGTGCAGGAACCTCCCGAACACACCGTGTCCGGTGAGGACCTGAGTCAGGCGGAAGGTGAGGATGCCGTGGCGTCTCTCAAGCCACTCCTCAAAGAGGGGTCTTATCGCCGCTATAGTGGCGTGCCCAGCACGGGGTTGCGACAGTCGCTCTCTCCATGTCGCCATGAGATCGTGCCGGAAGACTGTCCGCTGCGCGACAACTTGCCGCGGCAGCGGGGTTTCCCCCGGCATAGTGCCTCCGCGCGCCATTCGTGCAGGCGTGCGAGGACTACCGCCTCCAGATCCCATGGCGGCAATCCGGCAAGGAGGCTCGCCGCCTCGCGGGAGATCGTGCGGTAGCCGCGAACCATTTTAACGGCGACCACCCTTTGGGGCGCGTTCAGGTGGTGGACGGCAAGCCGCGCCAAACCACGCGCCCACACCGGGGCCCCGTAAAGGGCCATGGATCGCACGATCCCCGCGTAGAGCCTCCGGCAGGAGGCGTTTGGCCCCCCCCAGGTTCGGCAGGAGTCGCCTGAAGGCAGCCCCGGTCCGTTCCAGTTTGGGAGCCAAACGTCGGAAGTGCTCAACGAAGTTCCATCGGCCGTCTAGGACGAGTCCTAGGTACTTCAGCGTCGACTCGACGCCGATGGATACCCCTCCTACCATTACTGAGGATCCCGGTGGTGGCCTGTTCCGAGGACCATGGAAGTGCATGGCCTCGGACTTGTGCAGAGCCACCTCGAGACCCAGTTGCCGAATCCTCTCAACGACTATCGCAACCCCGCGTGTCATAGTTTCCGCCGCCGCCTCGTACGACCCCCCCTTGTGCCAGTACCAGCGTGTCGTCAGCGTAGCAAATTACGCTGACGCCGGTAGGGAGGTCGGCGCGCAGCACCCAGTCATAACCGATGTTCCACAGAGGTGGCCCCAGAACCGAACCCTGTGGGACACCGCACGACATCTCTCGCCGGTTCCACTCACCGTTGCGACCGGGGTAGATGACGGCCCTGTCCGTCAGATAGTCCCCGACTATACGACGGAGATAGGTCGGCACCCGGTGATACCGGAGTGCCTCCCTAATGCAGCTCCAGGGCATGGAGTTGAAGGCGTTGGCGATGTCAAGAGACACCGCCAAGACAACCCCCCCTCTGGCCACTGCATCCCCCGTCGTGAGGGCTCTCACGCGCATGATGGCTTCCACCGTAGAGCGCCTCTTGCGGAAACCAAACTGGTGTTCCGCAAGATCCGGCCCCGTCCCCGCAAGGTGCTCGGCGAGGCGGTTTGCAATGACTCTTTCAAAGAGCTTGCCCACCTCGTCGAGCAGCACCACGGGCCGGTATGCGGACGGAGAGTCCGCAGGGCGCCCCGGCTTCCGAATGAGGACCAGCTTCCCCGTCTTCCAACGAAGCGGGAATTGGCCTCTCTCCAAGCATGCGCTTAGGAGCCCCTCCAGTCGGGGCCCGAGAGCCTCCGAGGCCAGGACCCAGGCTTTGCCAGGCAAGCCATCGGGTCCTGGGGCGGTATTCCTGGCCTTGAGCCTACGTACCGCCACTCTCAGGTCTACCCCGGTCCCTTCCGGGATGTCGTCGTCGTCGTCCTGGTGGTCCGCTTCCGGCACCGCATGTGGCGGAGCCATAGGCGGGGGTGGATGTTCCCGTCGCGCAGGGAACAGAGCGCTCACCACGTCCTCCACGAGCTGGGGCCGGAGACTTTGCGTCAGCGGGGGGCCCAGGTGCGGAGTTTATCCCGCACCATCTTGTAAGGGCGCCCCCACGGATCTCTGTTGAGAGTCTCCAGCATCTCCTCACGGGCCCGATCCCGGGCCCGCAGGACAGCCTCCCGGAGGGCGTTCTTCGCCGCTCTGTATCCCTCGTACAGCTCCGCCTCAATGGCTGCCGCATTCGGTGGACGAATGCGGAGCCTGCGATGCCTGGCGTACAGGTGCCGCGCGGCGATACACGCCTCGCGCAGAGACGTCAGCTCACGCGACCACCAATACACCTGACGCCGGGCGCTTCCTGGCCGGACGCGGGGCATTGCCACGTCACATATCTCGGACATGGCCTCCTGGAACCACCCTGCCTCATCATTGACGTCGGCAGGCCTGTCCGGTGATGACACCCAGGCCTGCACGATCGAGGCTTCCAGGAGGAGCTCCCGGTCCAGCTGCTTCAGCGCCCAACGCGGACCACTCGGGGCCTGTTGGACTGGCGCGCTCGAGGGCTGGGTGGAGACATCAAACCGGATGTACCGGTGGTCGGAGTAGGTCTCCACCCCCTCCATGACACGCCAGTCAATGGCACGCGGCGACAGAGCGGGGCTAGCGAACGAAATGTCCACCACCGACTCGCCCCGCATCCGCACACACGTGGGGACAGAACCCCGATTTAGGACGACCAGGCCTGTCTCCAGAGCCCAGTCTTCCACCATCCTACCCCGCACATCTGTACGACGAGAACCCCAAGCCAAGTTCTTGGCATTGAAGTCCCCGAGGACAAGTACGGGGAGGGGATAACTTCCGACGACGACTGCTCTCAGCTCTGCAAGAGAGTTGTGGAGCTCGGCGAGAGATCGGTTCGGGGAGAAGTACACCCCCACAACGACGAACTCCCCGAACCGTGCTGCTACGCACCCCTGACCCCTCCTGACACCTTCAAGGGTCGGGGTACCGGCGGCGGCCGAAGAGATGATGGCCACTGAGCCGTTAAGGTCCGCCACCCAGTCCTCCCTAGGCCAAACAAAATACGGCTCAGCGACCACAGCTATGTTAATCGACCACTGCGCCATGCTCTGGAGCAACAGATCCTGAGCGCAGGCGCAGTGGTTGATATTCGCCTGGAGGAAGCTTAATGGGGCCGTTATAGGCATTCCATTTCAGCTTCCTCCACGGGGGCCCCTCTGCGGGCGTCGGTGTCGCGGCGGCGGCGGCGGCGACAGTGATAGCAGTGGCGGTGGCAGTTGCGGCTGCGGCGGAGGCCACAGAGGCGGTGGCGGCTTTGGCCCCTACCCTACCCGCGGCCTTGGCCTTGGCGGGTGGCACGCAGGCCTTGCTTCCGGCCCGGTGATCGGCTGGCTTGCCGGTCGCCGCACACGCATCACAGTGCGGCGTGGCGCAGCAGGTTGCCGATATGTGTCCGGGCTGACAGCAGCGGAAGCACAGGCGACTACGGTCAACCTCCGAGGCGCATCTCACTGATACGTGGTGCCCCACGAGACAGCGATAGCACCTCAGAGGTCTGGGCTCCAGCAGCTTAACCTGCGCTGAGACCCAGCCCACCAGCAGCCTTCGGCCCTCCACTATGGTTTTGGCCGCCGTAACAGGGCAGCACACCGTGGCGGCATGCATGCCCCGTTGGTCCGGGCGTATGGCGCCTGACCTAACCTGGTCAGTAGTGCACCCCCCGGACCTGGCGACGGCGGCCACCAACTCCTCCTCCGATACCGAGTCGTCCAGACCCATGATGCGCAGGTCTGCGCATCTGACGGGCCTGGACACCTGGGCCTCTTCCGCGTCCAGAGACGCTCTGAGCTTCGCAGCCAGAGCGTCCGCGGTCGCGCCACTGGATTCCCCCGGGGACCTCTAGCATACGGGCCCCCGTCTGGGTGACTTTGAGCCGGAGGCCCCCGGTGATCCCGAGCTCCCCCGAGATCCACCGCCTCCTTCGCCTTCGCGAGCAGATCGCGGTAGGTAACGCCCTTCTTTTCCGCGTCCGGCTGTAGTGTAATCACTACAGCTGCGGTCTTCGGGGCGCGGAGCCTAGCCGCGATCTTGCGCGCCCTGAACTGGCGCTGCCGCTCCTGCTCTTTGGCCTTTTTGGCTGCCTTCTTACCCTTCTTCTTGTTCCCGACCACCTGCCAACCGGCTTCAGCCGCGGGAGGTGTAGGGAGCTGGGGGGCAGTGACGGTGGCGGCAGCTGGCTTGCCGCTGGCGCTGGCACATTCGCCGCAGGCACTGGGGCTGGTGCAGCCACCACCTGTGCTGCCGCCTTGCCCTTTCTCGCCTTCGTCTTGCCTCCCTTTCCCGTCGCCGGCTTAGCCGGAGCCGGTTCAGCCGGTACCGGATTTGCCAGAGCCGGCTTTTCAGGGGGGAGGGGCAACTGCAGCCCCGCCCGAGGGCTGGCTAGACGGCCCCGGCCTGGATGCGGCAGCCGTGGCCGCCGCGTACGAGACCGTTGCCGGCCTCGCTGCCGTCTTGTTTGCCCCTAGGGGGGGGCGCAGGACGATGCCCTCCAGCACGGAGAACCGGTGCTGGAAGGCAGCCAGCTCCTGCCGGACCAGGTTCAGAACCTGGTTCTCCACCGGCACGGGCCGGCTTGGGCACTGCGTCTGGGGCGCCGCGCGAGAGGCAGGCTCACGTAGACTGGCCAGGTCTGCGCGGAGCTTCTCGTTCTCCTTCTGGAGAGTCTCCATGGCGGACGTCAGGCGGGCCACGTCCGCCCGCAGCTTTGCCACCTCGTCCGCATTAGGCCCGGCGCCAGCAAAGTTGGCCTCCGCAGCCGCCATGATGGAGGCGGAGGCCCCGGGAATGGCCTTAAACTTCGAGGCGGGCTTTTGCTTGTTGGCCACGACCTTGATCGCGGCCTCCACCTCCTTTACGAATCTGGCCTTACGCTCCACATCGGAGCCGCCAGTCGCACTCGTCTCTTCGCCTGATACCGTATCGCCCGGGTGGCGCCCCTCCTCGGCAAGCTTTGCCGCTCGTTCGGCCCTCTGATTGGCATTCCCCTTGCCTCTCAGCCCGCCCCGCCCGTTGGTGGGGATTTTCCGGGCCGAGACCTCGTCTTCACCGGATGATGGCCCCTGGTCGCCATCCCGCCTGGACCGCTTGCGGAAGAACTTACTGTTCTCCGCGGTCCCAGGCCCCACACGTCGGGAGCTCTCTGGGCCTCCCACGCTGCTCGATGCGGCGTCGGACTCTGTCCCCGCATCGTTCCTCCTCTCCTCTACTTTTTTGTTTGTTTGTTTTTTTTCCATATTTGTACCCACGATTATGGGGGAATTAAACGTCCACCTTGGCAGAGACCCCTGTACCAAGGTAAGCAGATTTAGAGGATTTATTACTCGCCAGGGGGTCTGCAGGTACCCTGGCGAGGACCGCACTTGCGGCTGATTTGTTCATAGAACCCCGTCAGCCATCCATCCCCTCGCGGTGCGTCGCCGCTTGGGATTCGGGGTAACTTTTTATAGAGGTTTTCTCCCTCGCGGTCCGGGCGATTAAGCCAAGACCCTCGGTCCTTATCAAAGCCGCGAGACATGATCCACGACACTTCGACTGGGATTACGAGACCGGCGGTGACAGCAAAGGATGAATCCTTCACTGTCTGCCCGGAGGCAGGGTAAGTGCACACCGAGCCCGCCCTCGCTCCTCTGCTATGCCCTCTGCTGATCAGAGGGTCACGCAGAGGAACGCACTGTTGGTCCGGGATGGACCCCCCCCATGTCAGAATAATTAGCCGCGGCAGCAACATTCCCCAAGGAATAAGAATTTCTTCTCATTTCTCGAGGAAGATTACCGCCGCGCCCAGGGTGCACCGGCCCAGTTGCTGCTCTTCCCTCCAGACGTATCGAGAGGGACTCGCAACTACCAGGCACACGTGGAGGACTTCTGACTTCGCACCCCCCCCCGAGTATCCACCCTAGGGTGCATTTATAGGGTGGATAAACGGAATAACCCGTTGGGATGCCATGTGCGTCACTCATATATAGGTATGCTTAAATAGATTGAGAATTATCATTTTCCGTAAATGTCGTAGTAATATTAACAATTGCTTTAATTGCATAAAGTAAACAATCGTTGTTCGCATCTATGCGCGTTCACATAAATATTGACAACTTCAATTGATCGTTTCAGGAGACCCTTTATAAAAAAACTTACTGCTCATATTTTTGGACGTAGTATCGCATATCATGAGATTGTGGATTATTATTTGGAGGACCTATTAAGCCATTTATTCTAACAGGCATATAGTAATCATACTCCTTTCGGTGCATACCACGTACTTGGATAAATATCGTTTCTGATTGTCCCGCATCAATATTCAACTTCGAGACTCTATATTTTTCATTTCCTTTGTTTACATAAACATTAAAAAAATTTTCATCATTCATATGTAACACATCTATTTCTGATCTAGCATAACCTGTATTTTGTAATATTACCTGTATGTATGTTGACATGTTACATGGAATTCGTGGCATGAACACATTTTTTGGCTGTATGTTTATCTTCGGTTCAACCACATTCCCACTTACAGGCAGCACAACGTTTTCTTTGTTATTAATTTTTAAGATGATATCAAAAGTGAATTCAATTATACAAGAAATTTTCACAATAACGTCAAAAGTTAGTATCATTTTTGGATGAATTTGTCCACTCATAGGCTCTATTCTGAAACCTGGTATTAGAGGTTCTACTACGTAGAAGAAAGCGAGCTCCCGTGATGAATTTTCTAATAGAACTTTCTTAGTAATTTCTAAGTTAAGACCAATGTTATAGAATGTCAATGAAGGTTGTAAAAATTTTACTGAAATTTTTCGAGTGATGATATTGAGTTCAACTGGAATTGTCTTATTTTCAAAATTAAAGTCAATTTCAAATGTTTTATGTTTTGTAGGCAAACATTTGTATATTATATCACACATCCTGCAAGAATTTCCTGGTACTAAGGATATATTTGGAATGACTTCAAATGGTGTATCATTTTGGGGGAAACTCCATTTGAAGTCTATATCAACATTGAATTTATTATAAATTTTTATTGATGAGGACGTAGTGTAAGAGTCAGATGTGACCATTCCGAATTTTAAAAACTTTTCGGTTAGTATTAGTGCAGGGTTGCCAGTTTGAAGAGTATACATATATTTTCTAAAATACTTTTGATTTATGCTGTACTCAAAATTTTTTGTATAATTTCCTTCAATAAATGCAGAACCGAATAAAGTTACTTTTACCTCGCTCAAAGATTTTACATTTACTTTCAAAGTGCGTACTTTTCTTTCCGTGTAAAAAATATGTTCATTGTGATAAAAACGTAAAGTAATATCAAAAGTACTACAATTTTTGAAAGTCAACACTTTTTCTGCATAAGAACATAATCCCACTCGACCAAAATCAACCATTGCTGGATAGGGTGTAACAAGGAACACGTCATAAATTGAAAATATTTTACTATATGGTTTCAAAAAATTTCTTGGTGAACTTGGTGTACTTCCTAAATCTACGTAACACTTGTCTTTCCCTATGATTATTTCTTTACTTGCGGATATTGATTTTCTTTTAGATTTTAATTTTGACATAACGAAAAATTCATGAGCCTTTTTTCGGTGTTCTTTAACTTTTGATACTTCATCGTTTACAAACGTATAGGTAGCATTCAATTCATTTAATGTATGTAATGATTTACCATAAACAGCACAAGTCTTTTTAGGGTAAACTACTTTTATTTTGCAGGTAACTATATATGGCACAAAATTGTTATCATTATTTGCCGTATTTTTATTCGTTAATATTTTATCAGACTGGTTAATTGCGTTTCTTATATAAAAGACAATTTGGTGCCCTACTTTTAGGCTATTTGGCTTTACACTAACATTTAATTTCTGTGAAGAAAAAGGCAATATACTAAATATTTGAGGATATACTTGGATGCCAACTGCTTTCTGGTAATTAAATTTAGCCGTTACAAACGTGGATTCATTTCGTATTCTTATGTATTTTGTAACTTTTTTATTTAATAAAACTTCCGAAAAATCTAATATTTTTGGCTCGTGTAATATCCTAACATGCTCAAATTTACCACAAATATAGTATCTACCAATTTCAGCATGTAATTCATTATCACAACATAATGTTCCATCTACTTGAATTAGATGCAAATCAACTACAAATTGGTTGCCAAAATCTTTGAGTTGTTTAGCTCTTGCAATGCATTCATTAGTTGGTTTGAACGTTACTTCTATAGTGTGATTGTCAACCAGTATTATTTTGAAAGCCCTGTGCGACGCAGAAATATCACGAGCATCTTCGAATTTCTTAAAATTAAAATTATCATTTATTATTTTCTATTTAAATTAAAAGTAAAACTATAAATAAAAATAATAAGTAATAGCCAACATACGTCTAACCAAGGCTTGAAAAAATTAGCAAATCTTATTACAATATAACTTTAAATAACGTTACCTTCCTATAAATACTTTTATAATGGTAGTTTAAATTATCATTACTTTGTTAACGTAAAAATAAAAACGTTATCATCAGTCAATTATCAAAACATAATGTTACAAAATGATATGTATCGTTAATGAAGAACCCACAGAGCATGAAATTGCCGCGCCAGAACCAATGAAACTACTATGGTGGCCACACATGGTCAGTTAAACTGATCATTCCAACTGATCAGTTCAAATTAAAAATGTTAATTTTTTTTAAATTATGGATATTCGATATATCCATAAATAAACTTATATGTAAAACTCCGATATTAATATATTTATAATGAACGATATATCAAAAATCCATTATTTTAAAAAATATCAACAGTTTTAGTTTGAACTGATCAGTTGGAATGATCAGTTGAACTGACCGTGTGTGGGGTCCATTAGTTACCATTTCAAAAGTTGATTTTACAATGTTTTGGCATGTAGGTACTCGTTATAACTATAAGTACGTCGTTTAGTCCTCAAAAAAGTAAAATCGACATATAGTCATAATGTTCGCCCTTACTTAAGATACAAGCACTCGATATGATACGCCAGAACAAAAACCTCTCAGAAATGAGAAAACATTATTTTTTTACAATTATGGAAAACCACACGCAGTTAATCATGGAATCTTGTTTCCTATTTCATTTTGTGGTAAATAAAGTTACGTAAGTATATAACTTAGATAAATTGTGTGTAATGTGTTTTCCGATATATTGCGGTAAACATTATAAATTTACTGGAACTAATACCCATACCAGTGAAAGAAAGCAGTGACTAAGAGAAATGCTAAGGTACATCTAGAATTCTATGCAGTTTTTTGTTACACCTGAGGTGAAATCTTTTTTTATACTTGAATTATTGTGATTGACAAAAATTTATTTAAAACGTTACACACTATAAAGTAAGCTGAAGTGGTATAGCTTGAAAAACTGACAACCGATTGGGAAGAAAGGTTTTCGAGTAGCGGACTCTTACCGGCGCAAAGTGTAGGGCGGCCCCTACTAGATTGAGTGACGTCCTGTCCTGAAATGGAGGAAGTCGATGGATGCAGATGGCTCAGGAAGCGTAAACACGCCTATAGCAATGCATTTGTAAAGGACTGGAATGATGTGTTGACGTATCACACCGAATAAATGACAGTATGTGGTTAGATTATTAACTACAGAATTAGTCGGATAACGGTTGAATATTTTACTCATTAAAACTTTTCTACTAGTTTTAAAACTAAATATTATTATTAAACATTAAATATCATACCATTAAAGCGCCCTGACACATAGTTTTTAGATATGCAGATGTGTATAAATCGGACTCCTCTATGTAAATTATTTTTGAGATAGATAACCCAACGATACATATGGGAAATTCCACCACTTTAAGTCTTTTGTAAACATTTTCGGGATCATAATTATGACAAACGGTCATATTTAAATAGTTTTTCAAACTGATTCAATGTGCGATAATACGATCATATGTATATGTAAATACGTATAGCTATAAAAATATTCAATAAAAATCAACTCAAAACGAAATTGAATAATAAATCCAAAATGACTACTAAAATGTCAGTCAATGTTGTATAAAGTATAATCAATGTCATAATTTATAATTTATCTTTGAAAATCACTAAAATAAGGTTATTACGAAATAGAAAAGGATTTTAATAATTCTTTAAAAAATATGCAAAATTTATATGGTACCATATTATTGTATTGCATTTTATTTCGGTTAAAATGCTGTTCAATACATAAATGCTTCCAAATTAAATATGTTTCTTTTTTGGAAAAGTATAAACAATTTTATAAGATAACTTAAAAATGGTACAATTACAATTTCAAAACTCTCTTTCTTCACAACGATGCTAGATGAGTAGTAACGCAGTGCCCTCGCGAACGGGATAACGTGCCGGAGTAATATTGTAGATGGATGTAGCACCGGGGGTGTGTCGTATGACTTCGACAAATTAGTTCGGGGCGGGGGAGCCCCGGTCGCTCCTCTTGCCCTAGGGTTTATCAGATTCGGGGGGTAAAAAATGACTTCTCAATGGGAGGTAGGAGGGTAGTGCGCAGAGCAAGCGGCGTATAGGGCGGGTATGGGCGGTGCCGCACGTGGGGCAGGCTTTTATCCGCGCTGCGATGCCTGATGCACTGTTGTCGGTTTGCCACCTCGCTCTCGATATAATATGATCATCACTTAGTGAACATTTTCGCGGGCCGTACGGAATGCTAGATCTTCGAGCCAAAGTTGAATATTTGTGTAGTGTTTTTAGGACGTAGTTGTGATACATGGAAACTGGATACACCGAAATTTTGCAGGACTGTAGGACGTGCGACGGCTCTATGGGTACTACTCTCGACATGCATCCTCTGGACCCGCCACCGCCTGATGTGCTCCTTGCGCTTTTAGCTAGGAATAAAGCATTAGAAGGTGAGGAATATTTGCGAGTATTTTAAGAATTTATCTGTAGTCATTAACTTTATTTTACAATAAAAAGTTTTTGATAATGAGAATATTTAAAAACAGTGTCTCCTGTTGCCTCGGTAGATGATCACTAATCCATATTGTACGCTACAATTACCAAGGTGGACACGTGCGTGGCTCGGCGCCACGCGACAGGGCGGCTACGTCATGTGCGTGTCCCCGCTCGCATTCTACCTAACTTTTTGTACGGGCCTGTACTAGTGAGCCCGAAGGGCTTCGCGTAATCAAGTTAAGTGCTCATACAACACAGGAGCGTCGATGAGCTCTTTTCGATTTAAACGCCAACGCACACCTATTAAACCGATAACGTCGCACTTAGTAAATTGTTGTTATACGAGGGTATTGTTTAAAATGCTTATATTAAAGTGCTGTTTGCAGTATCGGTACTAGTATTACTTTATAATTATACTAGTTTTTCAAGCTAGTAGGTCTCATATTCTATCTAGAACTTGTACTATACCTATTTCTGTCATCAAGCGGTAGAACACCTACTACAGTGTTCTGATTAGAAGGGCAAGTAAGCAAGTATAAATTACACGCTATGAGCCACTTCTTTGTAGTTCTCAAGATAACGCATCCGTGGTTTTCTTTGTCTAAATTTAGTTTTCGGGCATAAACAACTTGGGATCGGGTGAACTGTTTGCTAGTATGTCGTTAACGTTACAAAATGTATTTTTAAATTAATATTAATATTATTAAGTGGCTCATCTACCTAAGAGATGATAGTCAGTTCGTAATAACACTGGCTTTACAAAATCTGCCCCTACAATTTATCATCATCATTATCATCATTACAGCCCTTCACAAGTCCACTGCTGAACATAGGCTCCCCCAAGTAATGCCACAAAGCACGGTCCTGAGCCACCTGCATCCATCGACTTCCTCCATGTCTTACCAGGTCATCATTCCATCTAGTGGGGGGTCGCCCCACACTACGCCTACCGGTACGAGGCTGCCACTCGAGAACCTTTCTTCCCCATCGGTTATCGGTTCTTCGAGCTGTATGGCCGGCCCATTTCCACTTCAGCTTACTAATCCATTGGGCTATGTCGGTCACTGGTTTTACTGTAGATATCCTCATTTCTGAGCCTATCACGCAAGAGAAACTCCGA